CCCAGAATGTAGTTGCCCTTTGGGGGTTTTGGCGGGATTTTTTTTTTTTTTTTTGGTCTGTTTTAGGTTCTCCCAAAGAATATTTGGAAACATTCATCTTTCCAATTCTGCTTCCCGGAATGGCTAGTCTGCTTCACCAGGCAAAGAAAGAAAAATGTTTTGAGGTCAGTTGTTTTATTTCTTTCTAAACGCCCAGTGATTTCGTTTGTATCAGCTGTTGCTCATTATCTCAGTACCATCAAGCGGTTGTTCTCGAAATGACCCCTTTGGGAGGGAAGTGCTGTGTTTTGGGTCACTTACCCAGCTCCAGCCGTGGCACGCAGTTGTGCGCACACGTGCGCGGCCATCTGCCTGGTCCCAGGGTCCTGGAGAGGTTTCCGCTTTGCTTGGCCCCGCTGCCCGCCCTTCTCCCTGGCAGTTTGGCAGCCACCCGATTCTTGGGCCTGCTGCTCTTGTTTGTGACATGCGTGGATTAAAGCCCTCCTCGCCTCTTATCCGGCCCTGCGTCGGTCTTCCCACCTCTGGCCTCTCCCTACTCTGCTTCCTGCCAGGTGCCACGCGTGTAACTTGCTGCAGGGGAGGCCTGCACGCAGCGAGTGCTCGGCCCACTGGTCACTATTACACTGCAGCCAGTTATCTCCGCACCAAGTTCCGAGCCTGGTGCACCCCCACACGAGTCCCCTGGGAGGCTCCCTCTTTCCTACAGTCAACAGGACACTCTGGATTTGCGTGGTCCCTGCGTGGCTTCAAATACTGGAATTTGGGTGGCGCGCGTGAAAAGAGTAAAATAGCGACCACACTTAATGACCACGCACTCGCTCTGTGCTTTGTCATCCGTGATTTCCTTCATCCCTCGCAGCGGCCCTCCGAGGGCCCTTCTGTTTTCTCGTCTGACAGAGATTCGGAAAGGTGATCGAGGGGAAATGACCGAACTAGGATTCAAATCCAGATGAAATGATTTGAAACGAGACGAAAACTGGCAGTAACTACAGTGCAGACCCCGATCAGTTTGGCACGTCGCGGTCTCAGGGCCGGTGCCGCCTGCCTGGTTGCCTTTCGGCACGGGACCTCTGAGAAGAACTGGATACTGCCCTGACGGCACTTTTACATGCTGCAGAGACAGTGTTTTCGTATCGCTCCGACAGCAATGCTTAGTTTTGAGACACAGGCCTGGTGAATTCAAATCTAGGGGAACGTGACCCCGCCTCATTCTTCTGACTTCCTGGTACAGCCAGTTGCCCGGCCTGAACCAGGAAACACCACAGTGATTAGGTCCCCGTTTTCATCAACAGCAGAGGACGTTCTGCCAAAGGGGACTAGAAACAGAAAAGGCTGGCACAACAAATGACAGCGATCCAGGTACTGACTGTCAGCTGCAGGGAACGCTCCGTTCGCCTGTGGTTTGACTCCTGCTGTGCTAAGTCATGGTACCAGTGTCAGGGAAGCTGTCTCACTGATTAGTTGCCCACTGAGTGTCAGCACTGGCCAAATTGCTTTATACACATCATCTCATTTCCCCCTGAGAGGGTTACAGAAACCATCGAAGCCAGATCCCCTTTTACAGAGGAGGCCTCTGGAACTCAGAGGAGACGGGCGTTTCCTACAATCACCCAGCTCGTGAGTAATGAAGCCCATCTTCAGCCAAAACTCAGATGATTCCAGAGCCTGGACTTTCATCCCTCCCAAAATGTGGGAGTTAGAGGCTGTCGCCTAAATAGCTCCAGGAAATACTGATTTTTTTTTTCATTCATGGTTATTTTCTGGACAACAGATTGCTACTTGCCTTAGGTTATAGAATCTAAACTGCTTCTATTTCTTAGTATTGTTCATTTGCTCATTTGGTTTCCTTGACAACTTAATTCTTGTCCCCTACTCATAACTGACCCTTTCCCAGCGTGTGGTGTTACAGGTACAAGGTATGGCCGGGTGGAATGGTAGTGAGGCTGGAGGCCTGGAGCGGAGCCCTCGGCCTGGTCCTGCCATCGTCAGCTGGGTTTGACTCTCTGGTTTTAGGAACCGCTGCTAAATGAGGGATGCCAGGCCATGTCACGAGTCACACATCTTTTTAATCTTGCTGTTGGCCGCAGGACGTTCAGTGCGCTGCGCCTTTTGTTAGACCGAATGCAGGCAAGACAACGATCAGACGATGGCATGAGCACAGCGGAATAACCTTTGTTCGAATATATACGTAAGGAAGCTTTGCAAACAGATCGTCACCCAAGTTCAGCTCTAGTCAGCAAACATTTATTAAGCCCTACTATGTGCCGATCGCAGGGCCAGGCCCTGGGCCCCGCAGCGGACAAGGCAAGGCCCTGTCCTCAAGAAAACCACAGACTGGTGGCGAAGCCTTCCATAGCTGAAGAATCATGGTGAACGAGGGTCATTTTCATTTTTCTCTCTTTTGTATCTGTTCTTTTTGGCTCCTCTGAAATAAGAATGGACGTGGAGAAACGGCCAGAATGGATGCGGACCTGAGGGCAGCTATATTCCATTGTGCAGCCTTCATTCTAACGTATTCAGCTGTGATTCTTCTAATTTATACCCTTCTGAGGGCACAAGAATCAGCTAAAAGGGCAGTAATTAAGATTTCACATTGAGGGTTGCATATCTAATGTCTCTACATAAATAATTTTGTAACGAGGGGCCTGACAACAGTTTCCAACCTCTAGGCAATGACAAAACGCTTTTAAAGAATCCGAAATTTCTGTTTGTGTTGGAGATTAATGAGGCATCCTTGTGTCAACTCGTATTTCATCTCCGACGTCCCGCAGATAAGCCGCCTCGGAGACTAAATGAACTATTCCAAGCACCAAGCGCCGCAGGGTGCTCGAATAGAGCATTAGCGTTTAAATGTTATAACAAATGATCAGGAATGTAGAAAGCGTGGGTTCTTCAAACTATCAAACTCGCAAGAACTGATAAACTTGAAAGGCGGCCAGGCACACTTGAGTCCGACATCGCCACGCCTTCGCAGGGTGACCCTATGTAATCTGTGAGCCTCAATTTCCTCACCCCTTGAAGGGGTGACAGAGGCGCTCCTGTTACGGGAGGACAAGGGGACGTATTTAATGATGCTCATGGCACCACAGCGTGTTGAGCTCGCCCCGCCCCACCGTCCCTTCAGGCTGGGCGGGGAAGCTCAGGACTTTGAATGCTACAGATCGCAGTGCGGGTGAATTACCATTAACTTCCTTCATTTCCTGACTTCAGATTTCTTAATTAAATCTGATTCCCTCCATTCCACATCCTCCCTGACCCTGGTCCCTTGGTCTTATGGATTAGTTTTGAAGGCTTAAAAATTACATTACTGCCATCTCGACATTTGTCAGACCCAAGCGGTACTCCTGTTATCCAGATCTGCACGACAGATTTGCATTTTCTCGATTCGGCTGTTCCTCACCTCCTGCCATTGGGAACAGACGCTTAAACTGAATGATAACTGGCCTTCAGCCAAAATTACATCACCAGCGCATTCTTATCTGTCTCCAACTGACTTGCATCCAAATGGCATTTAAACTGCGGTGTAATTCATTGTTTATTGGGGCCATTAAAATTACATATCAGATTGCTGAAGAATAATTGCTGATTTGTATTTGCCCTTAAAATGCTGACTTCTAGTTATTTTTTCTCGCTTTCCTTATTTTATATTTTATTCTATGATATAGCCCCTGTGGTTCATAGTAGGGACCCACTAAGTATTTGTTGGACGAATGGGTGAATATAGTTCTTTAAAAGTCAGAGTCCACTTTTAAGACAGCAGCTACGTTACGGAGCTCATGTCAGTTTGCCGCAGCGACTGTGCGCAGGAGGCAGCGTGCTGACTGTGCCTGCGGCGTCTGGATTTGCCGCGTCTGGAGGGGAGTAGGCTGTGGGGCGGCCGCCCGTGTCTGTTGGAGTTAGAGCAGAGCAAGGAGCAAATCCTCTGAAATCGAAGGCGCCTCCCAGCACGTGGAGAGCCAGAGTGGCCAGGACGCTGGAATGCAAGAATAGCGGTTTCTAGCGCTTTTAGAGGCTTTGCCCTGGACCAGACATTGTTGTGAGCATGTCTTCACCCGCAGGAACCCACTTAATCCTCGCGGCAGCCCTCCAGTGTGGGTGCTGGTGTCGCCATCTCACAGGTGAGGGCTGTGTGGCGCCAGGGCCAACCAGTAGGCTCAAGCACACGGCTAGGAGGCGGCAGAGCCCAGATTCAAACCGAGCGGTCTGTGTCTCAAGCTAGGAGTTTGCCCGCTGGACCATGCCGCCAGTTGGTCTGAGGGCCTGCCAGATGCTGAGGCCAGACTCTGATGGAAAAGATGGGTCTGGGGGCTGTGGAGGAGGGGAGTGAGAAGCTAGGTGAGCCTGGGACGGTCACCCAGACCAGGCCTTCAGTCAGGCCCCTAGGGGCCTGTGAGTACTGACATTCCAAAAGAAAACCGGAATAAAACACAGACAGACAGACAGACAGACAGAGAAGAGGCAACGCCTGATTACTATGCCATAGAGCACTAGGCCATTTGCACACATGCCTGGAGTGCGTGCATGCCTGTGCGTGTGCGTGCATACTCGGATTAGGCAGTCTACAGTACGTGGTACCGTGGTTCAGAACCTGGCCTCTGGAATCAGACAGACTGCTTCCAACCCCGCTGTTCCCTGGACAAGCCATGCAAGCTCGATGATTTTGATTTTGATTCATTAATAACCGGATTCTTTTACATATTTTATTTTAAATATTATGTATCAAATTCCCATGAATTTCATAAAGATCCTAATCAAATAGTTTGCTCATCATTAGATACGTAAATCTCTGAAATGCTCAGAATAAAATTCAGCTTATTTAATAAGCAGATATTTCTCTATTCCTTAAGTTTTGGAGGCGGTCACAATTAGGAGACTAAACCTGCCATGTCTCATTCCCATGAATTGTCACAGCCTTAGGATTCGATGAAGACCCTGCGCGTTTCACGATGTGGATTTAGCGAGTAAAATACATTTGTTTAATCCTTCCCCAGATGCTTGTTTTCATTTATGTGTAAAAAGGTCGCAGAGGAGATTAAGCGGCACATGTAGGGCATTAACGCGACATCTGTAAATGAAGTCGGTGGGCATTTTAGTTTTGCTGTGAAATTAGCTGGTCGCTAGCAGTGTTCTATAGTTTGCTAAATATACTCCTATAGGTGAAGAA